AACGTGTGATTGTACAGTAAAAAAGCAGCAAGAGTCCATCCTTCTTCCCACACTCACTAATCATTCCAAAGAGGGGAAATCTCTGCTTAGACTGTTGTTACCGGAACAGGTGTCCCCACTACAAGATTTCGCCTCACCTTCTGCTCTGATGACAGCCATAAAAGTTTGGATTTCCCATCCTTTTCGGTCCTTTGACAATAGTCACCAGGACAAAAAAAAAGTGTGGATGTTCCCAGCAGGTACACAGGAAGCTAAGAAAAGTAGGGACTGGGTGTGTAAGTAGAAAAGCACTAAAAGTAGACTGTATAAACTCTAGATTCCAATGTATTTAGGCTCTTATATCATTAAAAGCAAACATGTTATGGGGGTTCAAAGGGTCTCCCTTCATCAGGGCCTAGTATGTTTGAATAAAGTATGTATTGTACTGAAAAAGTTGTAATATAGTTGATTAATAAATGAAAGATGTAAAGTTCAGCAGTGTAACAGGAATACATAATAGAGTTGTTTTTGATAATGCAATCAAAGCTTACTTGATCCCTTTTATGTAGTCAGTGCTGCCTTCCATCTGCCCATCACTTTTATCAACTTCCTGGATTCCCAGTGTGCTTTGCATCTCTTTCCCTGCTGCTTGATGTGATGCAATCTCAATTTCTCAAGTCTACATATCCCATCATGCATTGCTTCCAGCAAGAAATGATAAATGTTACATTGTTCAGACGTCGCGTTGTAGTTCAGAAGACAGGTGAAATTACGTCAGTGCATTGAGGAAGAACATTCTATGGGCATCTTTGGTAAGTTTACAAACTTCTAGATGGATATGGTTATTAGGAGTGGGAGAAAACATATGGACATTCAATATAGAAATACAGATTTAGTTTTAGTTTTTGACCATAGATACCCTTTAGGGCCTGTTCACACGACGTCAGTTTTCTGTGCTGACCTGATCCGTATGTTCCTGCACTTAAAATGCATCCCAATGTATCCCTATGTGTTTTATGGGCTACAGTTCTCACGTGCACAGTCCGTTCAGCTTACGACAGAAAAAATACTGCATGTCCCATTTTGTCCGGTCCAGAAACGCACGAATGCGGCAAAAACGCAACAAAGACGCAACGGAACGCAATGCAGCTAAGCAAAAAAATTAATAAATAGTATTCTTGCTCCACTTTTTATGATGTCATACGACATACTAGTAAAGGAAAAAAATGTATCCGGGTGACCTTGCAAATCCTCATACAAACTCCAGAGATGACCCTTGGAGACCCAGAGGCTCAAGATCGGGTGTACCCAATAACGACGTCTCCTGTGGGCTCGTTCTCTGCAGATTGCTGTAGCCAGCACCATCAACATGCCTGCAAACATGTGATACATGTCTGATCACCAGCTTTACATACACAAAGGGAAGTAGATGTTCCGAGAGGGCGGAAGTGACCTCAAAAACGTCAAAAACGCTCTGCATCAGTAGCACCGCGTCTGCAGATCCGCACCTGATCAGGACCTGATATCATGTGAACAAGCCCTAAGGCTGGAATAGCAGTGTGTATTTAATATTATTGTGAAAACGGCTTCCTGTACTTCTTCCCAGATTTCCTTTGGTAGTGTATGCATTTGTTTTAACCAATGAGCTAATGACAGTTTAAATAAATAACCTAAGCTTTGTCTACGGCTACCAAAAGATGTGAAAAAAACCTGACTACAAAATAATTTTTTGTGTTAGTGAACAATCTTTGCTACAAATATCTTTTCGTGTCAAAGATCATTATACATTCGGTAAGGAAATTGTGCCTTTGCAAAATGCACATATTTTGATAACAATGTTTCCAGTTACAGTTAATGTGTATGCATATATTTAGTTTGATGAAAAGCCGCCAATAATTCCAACTTGGCTTTATAGCTAAGGTCATTTATAAAAAATCTTACAGTATATACAAACAATATTTCTTAGTCGTTGCCACCAGTCGGAACACCCAGCACCAGTACTTAGTCGGAACACCCCTCCCGCAGTTGCACATAAATATGACCTCAATGACATCATTGACCTTATGTGGCTGCATGGTTATATTATCCAAACCTGAGCTCATCCCTAATTATGATGTGAATATAAAGGAAAATCCTAACGAAAATAAAACAAATGCAGCCACTTCTAAGAATTGGTAAGCTGCAACATATTACTTTTTTTGGGGGGTGGGGGTTTACACATACATATTATATTACCTTCAGCAGGAGTTTATTAGAATTGCATTAAATTGTGTTTTAGTTATTTGAATGAAATCGGTTCTTCTTGTAAGGGCTTCCTTCTTAAAGAAAAGTTTACTTGTTTAACTACAAAGCATGTGGCTAAGATATTAGCAGTTTCAGAGGATTTGTTTTTCCACCTGGAATGGTAGCAGGTGTGACTGTAGAATCTTTTTGGGGTGACAAATGCCCCTTTGACTCTTTATAGGATAAGTCCTGTTCATTTCAGGGTTCCTTTACAGAAGGATTGTTAAATCATGTTGTATAATTGTTACTAGTAGTTCTTATTTTGCATTGTCACTTTATATTTACACACCTTTTAAGCACTTTGAGTGTTTCCTACGGAAAGGTTTTTGAGCGCTGTACCTTTTGCTTTGTTGTTTCCTTTACAAAAGGCATGCCAAAATTATGTTTTGTGGCTGTAATCAGATTTAAAGTGTATTTTGCAGTCAAATGTGAGAAAACCCCACTATATGTTTAGTAGGTGTTCTGATACCCTAAAATGATTTGTATTATATATTTCTTACCTATAGATGTTTCTTTGGAGCATGCCTTTGGGCAGACTGCAAGCTACTCTGAACAAATTCAAAGTGAGTACATCCCCAGACAAAATGGAGACAGAGTGAGTTTCCTCTCATTGACGTACAATACAGAAGTCACAGTTCTACACCTTTATAGCATGATTGCACTTTAAAACAAAGTACACATTTCCTTTTTGTTCCCCTCCTCTGACCTGAACAATCCCGCCTTCCCCCTCTGCAGATTCATACTTACCAAGATCCGACGAGTACAGATTGTTTTTGTTAACATCCAGAGCCACACTGCTCCCTCTGCTGGCCTCAACTGCACATTACAGCCACATTACAACATAGACTTCTATGGGAACTGCTGTGGGCGAGGGTAAGATTGTTGAGGTCAGGGGGTGGGGGCAAAAAGAATAAGTGCACATTGTCTAAACACGCACTTATTCTTTAACCCTTTGTTAGGATAGACAGTATTTAGATCTAGTTTACAATAATAATTAAATCTGCCAGCACAGTACAGACAGGGTTAATTCTGGTAAACATTAACTCAACAGCCCCCTTCTTAAAATTACAGTGAGCATAAAAACTTCAGTTTGGGGGCTTTCAAAAAACAGCAAATAAAATGTGAGCATCAATGTTTTTATATTTATTTAAAGCTGTGCTGTGTGAATGGGAACATGTAACAAATATAAAAATAGGTGTTATCCCAATTTCACTGGCAATACACTTTAAACTGGATGAAGTCCCAGCTATTCTCCAGTTAATAAAGACTGCACTTCCTTGCATAGTTTTGCAGCTGAATACTTACGGAAATGTTTTATGAGAAACAGTTTGGCATGATGCAGTTTTAGTACGTTGACCTGAATCTTCCTATTTAAGCCAACTAAACGGGGGCTTATAAAAATGTAATGTATCATTGCTATTGCAAGCACTTCTGGTTTCATTGAGTCTTCAATGTATACACAATCTCCAGCGCCCATTGAAAGTAATTAGACAAAGCTGAAGCAAGATGTAACTATTGCCCACACAGCTACCTCCTCATATATCACTTCCCCCTCCCTTTTAGATTGTAAGCGCTCATGGGCAGGGCCCTCTTTACCATCTTGCTTTGAATTGTATTATAATTGTAATGTCTTCCTTATATTGTAAAGCGCTGCGCAAGCTGTTGCCGCTATATACATCCTGTATAATAATAATAATAATAAAATTGCCCATAATCAATCAATGTAAATGTGACACACTGCCAATGCAGCCGTTAGAAAGTCAAGAAAGACAGTGGCAGGTGTAAAATAGAGCAAAATGTGCAGAACATCTGAAGATCATAATAACAAAAGCACGTTTACGGTGATAACATTAATAGCTAACTAAAGTAGAAATCATTGCAAGCTTTCAAGGCAATCTGCCACATGAAGAGGACTTGTACCCTGAAAGCATGCAATGTTTTCCACCACAGTTAGATATTAAAGCTAGACCCTTAAAGTAAACCTGTCACCGGAGCAATATGGGGCTGCCATTGCTGATCTGCTTCTGAAAACCCTAGCTGCCTGTTATACTGACCCGATGATTTGATTACATTACCAAGAGCTAGCTGATGATTAGGAAAGTCACAAGTCCTTATATTAAAGTCTATCTCTAGGCAAAACTATGTTTTTGGTTTAAGATAGAGCGCGGAAGGCTGTCTGTGTCCCCATTGAGGGAGTCACCACTTTATTTGTCCTGGTAAACATTGTCTTAAAAGAAAATTAGGCAAAATCCAAAAGGTTGTCCCGAGAACAAGAGATGAGGGCATGGACACCACTTCCTATACATTTCCTGCACATGCACTTTAATTTTGACAGCCATAAGTCAAGAGACTGATCAGACTGATTTATTTGTTGAACTTGACAGGCTGGGTGTCTTTTTTCAAGCTGACTAACTAGCATTTTCAGAAGGTAAGTTTAGCAATGGCTATCTTTAGATTTTGTCATGACACATTTCACTATATATTACTTTATTCGCTTGGTCTATAATAACAGTACTGTCTGACTAAGGAAGTGTAAGTATTATAATCAGAGTGCTATTCTGCATCTGCTGCTAAGAACAAAGTTTGAGAAAGTTTCAGAGAGAAGTACACTATGTTTCGAGGGAAGCCATGCATTTTTACAGTCATGGGAAACCCTGTGTGTGTGTATGTGTGTGAGAAGCAAGAGGTGTGTGAGAAGGACTGGTAGGAGAGACAATGTGACACAAGGGAGGGAGGGCGAAGACTGGAGGAGGAGAGACACATTCACACAGCAGTTTGGGGAAAGCAAACCGGCAGGGATAGCAGAAGAGCCAAGTGCATGGGGACTGATCACTACGGAGCTAAGCTTTCACAATGTCTAGGAAGGAAGCAAGATAGCCCTAGCAGGTGAGACATTGCACATTATCTCATAGCACTGGGGGCTGCAAGGAGTGTTTAGGTACTGGTAACACTTGAAAACTTTTAGGAAGGGCAGGAGCTGAGGCTTTTCTGGTAATGGGTTTTATAAACAAATCACTTAGATGCTTAATTTCATAAACAAAATATTAGAAAATATTAAAAAATGTTATGCCGACATTGTTAGCATAGATGTATTGTGACATAATTTAATAATATTATTTATAATCATAATAATGAAATTAATGATGTACTAATAGGTGCAGAGTTAATCATCATATTAGATTTGTGTATTATGTATTGACGGTACGTACATCTGAATTGGTAAAACACAACATTGTACAAGACACAGGGGTCAGCATAGGGAATGGTGTGAATTAACTGTTGAGTCTGACAAGCAAGCATTTAATGTAGATGGTGCCTGAGCTAAATGTTCTAGTAGCTGCGACTTTTGTGGTTACTAACTTTGTTTTTTTTTTTAATGACAGATATTTATATATCACCATCAGTTTATGCAATGCTTTACAAACTATTTATTCACATCAGTTGTTGCCTTCAACAAGCTTACAATCTAAGGTCCCTATCTCATACACACATGCTAGGGTCAAAGTTACATTAGAGTTATATGTAATGTTGGTTTTCTCTAATACAAAAAAAATGGATTTCTATAGATTCTGAGCTGTAGGCAAAATATATCTTCCACTTCACACCTACTAGCAAACCGTAATTTGTTTTTAATAGGGGGCTTGCACCTAGTGAGGAATGCTCTGGACTGAATGGGTGAGGCTTGGGTTGCTAAAGCAGCTTTGCCTTCCAGGCATCCATATGCATGGGCCTATAGTGCCTAATTACAAGTGAAGCTGTGCAGGGTATATGCTGGTAGGTGGATGGCTGCACAATGAGATTCCATGGGGAGGTATACAATTGGTAGTAAACTGTGTTTAGATATGAAAAGAGTTTGTTTGTGTAAGATAAGATGTTGATTTGAATACATCTGCATTAGTGTTGTGCTGATAGGTATGTTTGTGTTTACTATGCCTATGTGGTGTGGGTTAGGGTTGGGTGTGTCAGTTGAGGATAGAGCTGAGCTGTGTGTACAGACAAGTGTTTTGGTGAGCGCTCTTCGCTTACTCATGGCGTATCTGTGCTGTGCACCTGTCACAGAACTGGGGGCGTTTGATTGCTGCTGTGAGCTGATAAACTATGGCCAAGTCTAGCAGGAATGTCAATGCGGAAAACACAACTCTGTCACTTCTTGCCCTCTGTCACTGTTACTACATGCAGTCTCTGGCACATAATCATTAGAATTGACAGCTGCATCTACAGAAGTATGAAATCAATACTATTATGCCTCATACTTGTACAGCTTCCAGACTGCAAAGCTTGCATATGTACCTCATATGTACTTATTAGAAAGCTCCATCTATATCTCTGTCCCTTCATCAGGACCAATAGTTCATACATTTCTTCCAGGTAAATCATGCTGCAATCATTGTAAGTGTAGGTTAAGGTTACTTCTATATCTCAGGCCCTTCATTAGGAAAAATAGTTCATATATTTCTTAACCATGTTGTGGAGGTTAAGGTTCCATCTATAGGACCAATAGTTGATATATTTAGTCCAGGTTAATCTTGGTGGAATCATTGTAAGTGTAGGTTAAGGCTCCACCTATATCTCTGTCCCTTCACCAGGACCAATAGTTCATATAATGATTCCAGGTAAATCATGTTGGAATCATTGTAAGTGTAGGTTAAGGTTCCATCTATCTCTCTGGCCCTTCATCAGGACCAATAGTTGATACATTTCTTCCAGGTTAACCATGTTGTGGAGGTCAAGGTTCTATCTATAGGACTAATAGTTTATATATTTCTTCCAGGTTAATCATTCTTGAATCATTTTAAGTGTAGGTTAAGGTTCCATCTATATCTCTGGCCCTTCATCAGGACCTATCGTTTATATATTTATTCCAGGTTAATCATGCTTGAATCATTGTAAGTGTAGGTCAAGGTTCCATCTATCTCTAGCCCTTCATCAGGACCAATAGTTTATAAGTGTTAAGATCAATCAAAAGCATTGGTGACTTTGTGCGCTATCATTAATTGTTTATCTCTGTGGCAGGAATTGAGAGAAAATTTGCATACGAAGATGGACAGCCTTGGAATATTAAATCGAGGAAAAGCTGAGTAGTGTCAAGATTTCCATTCCTGCATCAATGCAGAGAACATTTTTACAAGTTCCAGGAAGACAGCTGATATAGCACTTAGTGGGCACGCTACGGCAGCAATGACCAATGAGGCACCATCACTCCTTCACCCCATGTCAGCATCACCATGTTAAAGGAGGCGAGCGAGACATACACAGAGGACTTGATCTATATAGTCCTAGAAGTGGCCATTGCCATCTTGGCCATTCTTGGCAACGTATTGGTGTGCTGGGCTGTCTACATTAACAGTAACCTTCAGAACGCCACCAATTATTTTGTGGTATCCTTGGCTGCGGCAGATATAGCGGTGGGTGTCCTTGCCATCCCATTTGCTATCTCAATTAGCACTGGATTTTGTGCCACCTTCCACGCCTGCCTCTTCATCGCCTGCTTTGTTCTGGTGCTGACACAGAGCTCCATCTTCAGCCTCCTCGCAATCGCTTGTGACCGATACATCGCTATTCGCATCCCACTCAGGTGAGTGATTTACATCATGGGATATAAACCATTTCCAAGATGTTGCAGAGTATCTTATCACTTCTTAGTTGAAGCAGTGCACCACCATTTTGTTTAATATATACTGTATATATATACTGTGTGTATATATATATATTCATACACCCAAGCTCCTTTTTGGCACTTGGGAATCCCTGCAGATAGCACCCTGCTGGCAACTGCAGCCAGATCCTCGGCACGGCAAAGCCAGAGTACCTATTGTTGTAAGCATAACCTGATAGTGGCCCTTCCTGGAGCAAAGCTTAGGATATCTCCACTTCGTGTCTTTGAAGATCTAAGATTTCTCTGTAAAAAAGGCAGAAAGGTATATTATATATCATATATAATCCATATGATAACACAGCCAGGTCTTCCCTAAACCCTCATATATGTAGAAGACTCTTTATACTGCTCCCCATGCCTTGCTCCTGTTGTCAATGTGCGTGTGTAAATCATCAGAGCGATGTACATTAGAAGATGTTTAGCGCTCATTACCACACCCCCACCGTCCGCTCGTCCACTTACAAATCGTCCCCGCTATTTCTCTATCAGGTAATGAATGGTCTGCAGGAGATCACCTCTTAGCTGTGACTTGCTACCTAGCATAAGCACATGAGATGTAGTTAGGTGTAGAGATTTAATTTCCTTTTCTTCTTTACAATGTATCTATGTACTTGTACGTGTATACTATCTATATCTATCTATCTATCTAGGACCAATAGTTGATACATTTCTTCCAGGTTAACCATGTTGTGGAGGTCAAGGTTCTATCTATAGGACTAATAGTTTATATATTTCTTCCAGGTTAATCATTCTTGAATCATTTTAAGTGTAGGTTAAGGTTCCATCTATATCTCTGGCCCTTCATCAGGACCTATCGTTTATATATTTATTCCAGGTTAATCATGCTTGAATCATTGTAAGTGTAGGTCAAGGTTCCATCTATCTCTAGCCCTTCATCAGGACCAATAGTTTATAAGTGTTAAGATCAATCAAAAGCATTGGTGACTTTGTGCGCTATCATTAATTGTTTATCTCTGTGGCAGGAATTGAGAGAAAATTTGCATACGAAGATGGACAGCCTTGGAATATTAAATCGAGGAAAAGCTGAGTAGTGTCAAGATTTCCATTCCTGCATCAATGCAGAGAACATTTTTACAAGTTCCAGGAAGACAGCTGATATAGCACTTAGTGGGCACGCTACGGCAGCAATGACCAATGAGGCACCATCACTCCTTCACCCCATGTCAGCATCACCATGTTAAAGGAGGCGAGCGAGACATACACAGAGGACTTGATCTATATAGTCCTAGAAGTGGCCATTGCCATCTTGGCCATTCTTGGCAACGTATTGGTGTGCTGGGCTGTCTACATTAACAGTAACCTTCAGAACGCCACCAATTATTTTGTGGTATCCTTGGCTGCGGCAGATATAGCGGTGGGTGTCCTTGCCATCCCATTTGCTATCTCAATTAGCACTGGATTTTGTGCCACCTTCCACGCCTGCCTCTTCATCGCCTGCTTTGTTCTGGTGCTGACACAGAGCTCCATCTTCAGCCTCCTCGCAATCGCTTGTGACCGATACATCGCTATTCGCATCCCACTCAGGTGAGTGATTTACATCATGGGATATAAACCATTTCCAAGATGTTGCAGAGTATCTTATCACTTCTTAGTTGAAGCAGTGCACCACCATTTTGTTTAATATATACTGTATATATATACTGTGTGTATATATATATATTCATACACCCAAGCTCCTTTTTGGCACTTGGGAATCCCTGCAGATAGCACCCTGCTGGCAACTGCAGCCAGATCCTCGGCACGGCAAAGCCAGAGTACCTATTGTTGTAAGCATAACCTGATAGTGGCCCTTCCTGGAGCAAAGCTTAGGATATCTCCACTTCGTGTCTTTGAAGATCTAAGATTTCTCTGTAAAAAAGGCAGAAAGGTATATTATATATCATATATAATCCATATGATAACACAGCCAGGTCTTCCCTAAACCCTCATATATGTAGAAGACTCTTTATACTGCTCCCCATGCCTTGCTCCTGTTGTCAATGTGCGTGTGTAAATCATCAGAGCGATGTACATTAGAAGATGTTTAGCGCTCATTACCACACCCCCACCGTCCGCTCGTCCACTTACAAATCGTCCCCGCTATTTCTCTATCAGGTAATGAATGGTCTGCAGGAGATCACCTCTTAGCTGTGACTTGCTACCTAGCATAAGCACATGAGATGTAGTTAGGTGTAGAGATTTAATTTCCTTTTCTTCTTTACAATGTATCTATGTACTTGTACGTGTATACTATCTATATCTATCTATCTATCTATCTATCTATCTATCTATAGATAGATAGATAGATAGATAGATAGATAGATAGATAGATAGATAGATAGATAGATAGATATAGATAGTATACACACACACACAGTATGCCCTACAAATACCAACATCAACATTGCATGATATTGGCTTTTATAATGGTATCATCTATCTTGCTTTGCCATCTGGGTCCTGGCTTCCATACACTTCAAAGACACTATCTATGTCTTTGATGCATCGGCATGTAAAAAAACCAACAAAACAAGCAATCTGCTAGTTTATTTGTCTTTCACCCCTATTTTGTGTGTGCGTTCTATTCATGCTTGTGGTATAGGGGCAGACTGGAAGGCCATGGGGATCAGAGCGTTGTGTGAATAGTTCAGTGTTCTCTATCTAGCTGAACATACACTATACAATCTGATTGTACAACCTTCTTTAGATCTACCATCAACTATGTAGTGCAAGGGCCTGCCTGATCTGAAACTATTGTTTAAACCTGTCCCCATAATACAGGGATGGCCAACTCCAGCCGTCCAACTGTAGTGGAACTAGAAGTCCCATGAGGCATTGCAAGACTGACCGTTACAGGCATGACTCTCAGAGACAGAGGCATGTTGGGATTTGTAGTTTCATCACAGCTGGAGGGCCGAAGTTGCCCACCCCTGCCATATGGTATAGTTTTGGTAAATGTAAAGGAGATTGTACAATCAGATTGTGTAGTCTATGGCAACTCTATATTGCTGACCATACATTATACAATCTGTACAAGCTATACAAAACATCAATATAAATCTGTATATATATTAGTCTAAATTAGCCTTGAAATAGTGTGTATACAATCTCTACAATCTCCTTTAAGCTCACCATACACATTACAATCTAATTGTACAATCCTTAGCTCTACCAACGAGTATGTAGTACAAGGGTCTGCCTGATTGGATATAAATTAATTAAATAATTTAGGTTGGTCCTCATATTATATAGTTTGGATAGGTCTAACGTTGATTGTACAGAGATTGTGTGGTCAGAGTGTAACATGTATGGTGACCCTGAGATCTACCATCAACTATGTAGTGCAAGGGCCTGCCTGATCTAAAACAAGCTGAATAGATTGTTTAAATGTGTCCTCGTATTACATAGTTTTGGTAAATTTAAAGGAGATTGCACAGAGATTGTACCACCAGATTGTTTACTCTATGGGCAGCTTAACCTCTGTGGAAAAAATGGCAGTACTATATAAATCTGCTAGGGAGGGAGGCCGGTGGATGTAGTATATCTCCGGATTTTGCCAAAGCTTTTGACACGGTACCACATAAAAGCTTAGTGCACAAGCTGAAGTCTATGGGCATTGATGAAATGGTGTGTACATGGATAGAGAACTGACTACAGGAACGTGTCCAGAGCGTACTGATAAATGGCTCCTTTTCAGATTGGTCTATGGTGGAGAGTGGCGTGCCCCAGGGTTGTGTGCTAGGCCCCATACTGTTTAATCTGTTTATTAATGATATCGGGGAGGGTGTTAATAGTTATGTTTCTGTGTTTGCTGATGATACTAAAATTGTTATGGTAATAGACACGGACTTAGACATTATAACATTACAGAAGGACCTGGATAAAATAGGGGAGTGGGCAACTATATGGCAGATGAGGTTTAATGTTGATAAATGTAAAGTCATGCATTTTGGGGTTAAAAATAGGCAAGCGGAATACACATTAATGGGAACTCCACTAGGGAAGTCACAAATGGAAAGAGATTTGGGGGGTCATTGTAGACCACAGACTGAATAATATTTTGCAATGCCAGGATGCTGCAAACAAAGCGAGCAGAGTACTGTCTTGTATTCAAAAGGGAATGTACTACAGAGACAAAGCAATAATTTTATCACTTTGTAGATCACTGGTTCGGCCTCATCTGGAGTATGCGGTCCAGTTTTGGTCACCAATCCACAGAAAGGATATTCTTGAGCTGGAGAGAACCCAGAGAAGCGCAACTAAACTAATTAAGGGGCTGGAGGACCTAAGCTATGAGACAAGGCTACTAAACTTAAACTTGTTCACGCTGGAAGTGAGGAGACTAAGAGGTGGCATGATTTTGATGTACAAAATGTTTGGTGGTGATGGCAACATCTGCAATAAACTTTTTACGGTAAACTCCGTAACAAGGACTAGAGGCCACCGCCTAAAACTGGTGGAGAAAAGATGTAACCACAAGGGCCGTAGGGGCTTCTTCTCAGTTAGAGCGTTTAAAGTCTGGAACTCGCTGCCACAAGCAGTGGTATCAGCAGAGAGTATTGAATCATTCAAAAAGCATTTAGATACCTTCCTCAGAGACCATAACATACAGGGGTACAGGTACTCTTAAATACAAGACCACACAGGGACTAGTGTACACATATACACATTGCACAATCACATACAGACACACAAAGGTTAAACTTGATGGACTAATGTCTTTATTCAACCTCAAATACTATATGTAGCTATGCCTATTCTATGGATTTCAGTGACATTTATAAGAACTTAAAAAAATATGGATATAAACATAAAGGGGTAAAAAAAAGCAACAGTGCCCCTTTACAGTCATCATCGGGCAAAAAGTGAGGGGAAGTCTCTTTAGTAACAGGTGTCACCTGGAAAGAAGTTGTCAGGAA